CCCATCCATCCATCCATCCATTTGTCCATCCATATCCATTCATCCATCCATTCATCCATCTATCCATATCCGTCCATCCACCCACCCATCCATCCATTTATCCATCCATATCCATTCATCCATCCATTTATCCATCCATCCACCTACCCACCCCCTCACTCCATCCATCCAACCATTCATCTGTCTATCCATCCACCCACCCATCCATTCATTTATCCATCCATCCATCCATATATCCATATCCATCCCTCCATCTATCCATTCAGTCATGCAGTCAGCATTTATTGAACCCTCCTACTTGCTATGTACTGTGCTAGGTGCTGTGGAAAACACAGTGAACACACATGCACAATTCCTTCAGCTCAAGAAGGAAAGGAGCCCTTTCCTTCACTTCTGGTGGCTACTAGAGTGGAGTTCAGCTTTTATCACCGAGCTGATGTTCTAGAGGTAAAGGAGTGTGCGAGAAGCAGTGTTGCACAGTGGTTAGGACATAGGCTCTGGAGCCAGACCGCCTGGGTTCAGATCCCTACTTACTTAATGCTCCGTGTCTCAGTTCTCTCATCTGTAAAAGGGGCCTAATGGTAGTACCTTCCTCATCAAAGCGTCCTAGTAAGGTGTGGAATGATAGAACCTTCCTCCTCCCCTTGTGAGGAGTAACTGAATGGCCGTGGCAGGCATTGAGAGCAGGGCTTTGTTTGTGATTACAGTGACCAGGGGAACACGGGTGAGGTTAAAGGATCTACTGAGAGAGGTGCTGACCAGGGAAGGTCTGTGGGTGGCTTTCCTGCCTCTATCTGTGCTCCACCGCCAGCCAGGCCCTGCTGGCAGGAGCCCACGATGGGGATTAATGGCCTGGACGGCCCTGCAAGCCAGTATCCAAAGAGCCGTGGTGTGGGCCCAACAGCAGCCTTGTTAGCAGGCTCTCTCGGGCGCTGGCTGCCTGGGCCTGCACTCTGCTCCCTGGCAAACCGTCTTCCTCCATGAAAGAGGCTCTTGTGGCCCTGGACAGACCCCAAGTGAGTTTGCCAAACACACAGCTGCTGCCGCCTTTGCTGCAGCCGCTCTGCCGGGACATCAGGTGGCTGAGATCCAGGCACAGAAAAGTGCTGCGTCTGGTCCCTTCCCATGCTTCAGAGTTGGACAGACACCCCCCACATGAAGTCTTGGGTGTGGTGGTAGCCCCAGGAGCAGATCCCCGCTCTGCCACTTAGCTGGGTGACCTTGCAGTTCATGTCAACTCTCCGAGCCTCAGTTTCCTCATCTGCGGAATGGAGCCTAGTAACCGCTAGTAATGGTGCTGCCAGCACTTGGAGGGCACGACTCGGGGCAGGCCAGGATGCGGACCCCCTCCCCCATTTTGAGGGCATAGAAGCTGCAATTAGATCCAGATTTAAATTACTCCAGGCTGAACACCCTGGGTCAGGTTGGACCATCAGAATGTCTGCACAATCTGGCTGGGAGAGGGCAGGCCCCGTGTCCTGGCAATCAGGTGGCCACTGCGCAAGTATCGGTGGATTATTGAAGGCAAGGGGTCAGGTTAGCCCCGCGACTATCAGCTGGGTGATTCTGACCCCCCGGGGACATCTGGCAGTGTCTGGCGACATTTTTGTCACAACCGGAGGAGAGGGTGCTACTGGCATCTAGTGGGTCGAGGCCAGGGATGCCACTCCACATCCTACAGTGCACAGGACAGCCCCACAGCACAGAATTGTCCGCCCACGTCAATAGTGATGAGGTTCAGGTCCTGGTGTATGTCCCCTCCTCTGCTGCCCCACGGAGGCCCTCAGACACAGCAGTATTGATAATGATGGCGAACATTACTGAGCACTTACTCGGTTCCAAACTCTTGCGTGTGTTAACTTGATCCTGCAGCAATGCCTGAGGTCAGTGAAGAGCCCTGGGCTGGTGTGAAGTTATGACCCAGGGCGTTGTGTCATTTCTCCCGCTGCCCTTTGCAGCTACGTCCGTGTGACCTCAGGCTTGGCTACTTGACACTCGAGTTCCCCTGTCCTGGGGCCTGAAGCCGGTCTCATGAGCCCCGTGTTAGAATTCTGACCGCCGGCAGAAACAGGCCTGAGCAATGCGGCGCCCCGTGCACGGGCCTTCACGACAGCCGGGCTGGCCCTGCGGCCACCGCTGCCCTTGGACTCCCAGCAGAGCTGCCTCGGGACGGAAGTGCGAACAGAAACAGCCTGGGTGTCCCGGCTGCTGCTGGGGCTCCCCCAAGAAGCTGGGATTTGGACTTTAACACAAATGTCTCAAATGTGCCAAGTCTTGAGCAGATTCTCCCAGTGGGGGCCGAGGAGTCCTGGCTCCTCGCTTTCGGAACTGAGCGAGTGTGCTGAGTGTGTGCTCGTGCCTGGGAGGGCCCTTTCTTGGTGTGGGTGGTGGCTCTTGTCGGTTCAGACAGGACACTCCTCGGAGCTCGCGTCCGAGGGTGTAGGAGAGGCAGGAGGTGCAAAGCAGCCGTTCTCAGTCCTAAAAGTATAGACCAGGGCCAGCCCCGGTGGCCTAGTGGTTAAGTTCGGCACACTCTGCTTTGGCAGCCCAGGTTTGGTTCCCAGGCGTGGACCTACACCACTCGTCTGTCAGTGGCCATGCTGTGGCAGCGGCTCACATACAAAATGAGGAAGACTGGCAACAGATGTTAGCTCAGGGCGAATCTTCCTCAGCAAAAAAAAAAAAAAAAAAAGACCAAAGTGGAGAGCACATCGGTGGTTGCAGGGGGTGGGAAGGAGGGGGTGTGGTTACAAAATGGCAACACAAGGGGTCCTTGCAGTGCTGGAAGTGCTCAGTGTCCTGACTGTGGTGGTCGATGCAGACATGACACAATCGCATAGAAGTAAACACACACGAGTACAAATAAAACTGGGAGATCTGAACAATGTCGGTGGATTGGACTGGCGTCAATATCCTGGTTGTTACTGTACTATGGTTTTTCAAGATATTATTATTGGGGGAAGCAGGTAAAGGGTACACAGGAACTCTCTGGATTATTTCTTCAATCTACAATCATCTCAAAATAAAAGGTTTAATTTGTAGAAAGTACACACACCATTGGCCCAGCCCCAGCGGTCCTGGTTTCCTTGGTCTGCGGTGGAGCCTGGGCCTGGGCAGGTCTCTGAGGTCCCCAGGTGAGCCCACTGGGCAGGGGCTGAGAGCCGCTGTCGACTGTGGCTCCAGGGTGCACGAGCTCTGGTCAGGCCAACCCCGGGGATGGCTGCATCCTCCTGAGTCTGTGATGATCACCCACTTGCTCTGCCATTTTCCTCCCAGAGAGCCGAGAGGGGTCTAGACTCACTGTGGGGTCACCGATGACCCCCGGGTCACTCGCATCTCCGGGGCAGTCTCTCTGGGTTGGCGCAGCAGGGGGAGGGTTGAGGGGCCCGGCTCAGACCAGGCCCGACTCCTGCGCCAGCCTGTAAAACAGGCCCTTCTGGGCCAGCAGCTGGGCCGGGCTGCCGCTCTCTGCCACCTGCCCGTTGTCCATGACCAACACCCTGCAGGGGACAGAGAGACAGGCAGCTCTTTGGACCCCACCCTTGGCACTCAGCTGCTCTGAGAGCCCAGCGTGTCTGCTCTGAGCAAGTCTGGCCTTCTGTGCAACTTCCAGACATTGACAGCCGGGTGGGAGCATCTGCTGGGCATGTGTCCTTGGGCTCATCCCTTCCCCTCTGGGCATCAGTCTTGCCACCTGTACAATGGGCACTTGATCATCCATGCCATCGCCCCGCCAGCTCTAAACCCTGACGCCTTCCTCTGCCGCTGCAGGGCTGCCCTGGGGGCGGGCTGCGGAGGGGCTTACCTGGCACAGGCCATCACGGAGCGCAGGCGGTGGGCGATGACCAGCACTGTGCACTGGGCAAACCAGCTCCCCAGGGCGGCCTGCACCTGTAGCTCTGTCCCCGGGTCCACGGCAGCAGTGGCCTCGTCCAGAATGAGGATCTGGGTTTTCCGGAGAAGGGCACGTGCCAGACACAGGAGCTGCTTCTGGCCCGTGCTGGGGATAAGAGGGACGGTCAGGCCAGGTTTGCTTGCTTGCACCTCGGGATTTGTAGGGTGTGCCCACAAATGAGTCCCCATGAAATACAGTTATGCGCCGCATAACGATGTTTTGGTCAACAATGGACTGCACATATGATGGTAGTCCTATAAGATTAGTACCATCTAGCCTAGGTGTGTAGTGGGCTGTGCCATCTAGGTGTGTGTAAGTCACCCTATGATGTTCATGCAATGACGAAATCACCTAACGACGCATTTCTCAGAATGTGCCCCATTGTTAAGTGACGTGACTGCAGGGGGTGTGTGCGTGCACATCCCCACACATGGGGTCCCCAGTCTACAGAGCTGGTAGGAATTCCCATCCCGCCATTTTTTTTTTTTTTTTTAAAGAACTCGTTTGTTTTCTTACACTCAGGGAAATTTTATTTATTTATTTATTTTTTATTTATTTTTCCCCCAAAGCCCAGTAGATAGTTGTATGTCATAGCTGCACATCCTTCTAGTTGCTGTATGTGGGACGCGGCCTCAGCATGGCCGGAGAAGCGGTGCGTCGGTGCGCACCCGGGATCCGAACCCGGGCCACCAGCAGCGGAGCCCGTGCACTTAACCACTAAGCCACGGGGCCGGCCCCATCCTGCCATTTTTGAGCAGGGTGACTTTAGGCAAGTGATTCAAAGCCGCTGTGCCTCAGTTTCCCTGTCTGTGAGATGGCTATTTCTATTTCAATTCTATGGTCTTCACCACGTGCCAGGCACATCCTCAGTGCTGTGTATATATTGACTCGATTCTCATAAGGACCACAAAGGCAGGTACATTAACGAGTCCTTCCTCCCTGGGTTGTGAGGACAAGATAAGTCATATAAAAGAGCTCTGCGGCGTGCTTGTCACGGAGCAGACCCTGGTCATGCAGTAACTTCTTCTGCCCCAATTACAGATGAGGAAGTAAGGCTCAGGGTCGCACTGCCAGGGAGACCCCAGAGCCTGGAGACCCAAGGGTGTCTGGGCTGTTCCCCACCACGCTAGCTTCCTCTCACAGTAAACCCTTTCGAGAAGCAGAACCTCCGATGGCTGTGCAGGGGTCAGGGGCCAGGCCTTGCTCCAAACTCACCACTTACAAGCTGGGTGGCCCCGGGCAAGTCTTAAGCCTCAGATTCCAACTCTGTCAAATAGGATTAGTGAGAACGCAGCTTTGAGGATGAAAATGAATATTTATTGTTTCTGTATGCCAGGCACTGTTCAACAACTTTACACGTATAACTCAATCCTTGCACAGGAAGGTAGGTACTAACTATTACTCCCATTTTACAGGTGAGGAAACTGAGGCACAGGTGATTAATAACTTGCTCAAGGTCCTATAACTGTAAGTGGGGGAGCCTGGATCTGAAGCCTGTCTATGCTTTCAACCACCAAGCTACACTGCCTCTCTAGGGCGTGGAAACCTCACCACCCACAGTCTCTTACTCGAACACCCTTGGGGGCAGATGGGGTTTAGGATCCAGAATGTCTTGATTTTTTAAAAGGCATACACCTGTACAACTAAGTTCAGGGCAGTACTATTCACAGTAGCCAAAAGGTAGAAACAACCCGAGTGTCCATCAATGGATAAGAAAGATGTGGTCTAGCCACACAGTGGAATATTATTCAGCCTTAAAAAGAAAGGAAATTCTGACACCTGCTACAACGTGGATGAAGCTTGAGGACATTTTGCTAAGTGAGAGAAGCCAGTCACACAAGGATGAATACTGTAGGATTCCACTTAAATGAGGTACCTCGAGTGGTCAAACTCAGAGAAACAGAAAGTAGAATGGTGGTTGCCAGGGGCTGGGGGGAGGGGACATAGAGAATTGTTGTTTTAATGGGCGCAGAGTTTCAGTTTTGCAAGGTGAAGTTCTAGAGATCACTTGCACAACAATGTGAATGTACTCAACACTATTGAACTGTACACTTAAAAATGGTTAAGATGGTTTTATGTGTATTTTGTCACAATTAAAATTTTTTAAAAAGGCATACACCATATGCTACTCGAGACCCCCCAGTGATCGTGGGGGTAGTGCCCAATATCAAACTCAATATTTTTGCAGCAAAATACATACTGAGTGAGATAAATAAAGACTCTAAATATCCTCGTGTTGGTTGAGGTTGGGTTTTGCCACCAAATAAATTTAGGAACCGAATTTAGGAAAAAGAAACTTGGTCTTCAGAGACTGTGTTGAGTTTGGAATTGCTGATAAGGGACGGGACTCCAACTGTGACTATGAATAGAATAGGGCTGATAATCCTATGAGGGGAGCAGATTGCCTTACGGGGAGCCTTGGCCACACTTGCCCTCCCCCCAGCCCGCCGGGTCCTGGCCGTGCTGGGGCGTCCCTACCTCAGGTTGTCGCCTTGGTCGGCGCACTCGTACTGCAGCTGGCCGGGCAGGCTGGTCACCAAGGCTCGGAGCTGCACCGTCTCCAGGGTCGCCCAGAGGGCTTCGTCCGTGTGCTCGTGCAGCATGTCGAGGTTCATCCGCAGAGAGCCCGGGAACAGGATGGGGTCCTGGCCCGGAGGGGCAGTGGGTAGAGCCGGGCCCAGCCACACCTCCCACCTCTGCCCACCCCGGGGGGCCCCAAGGCCTCACCTGGGGGATGACGGTGATCTTGGACCGCAGCCTGTGCAGCCCCACACAGGTGATGGGGACCCCGTCGATCCAGACCCCGCCCTCAGCGGCCTCCACGAGCCGCAGCAGGCCACTGGCCAGGGAGGACTTTCCGGCCCCTGTCCTGCCAACGATGCCCACCTGCCAGGGGATGGGAGGGCAGGGCCTATTCTGACCAGGCCTCGTCAGAAGAATAGGCCACAGCCCGGAGGGTTCCTAGGTATCTCTTTGTGAAATGTTTCCTCTGCACCCAAGATCCATCCATCCATCCATCATCCTTTGAGCATCCCTCCATCTGTCCATCTGTTCACCTTTCCATGTATCCATCCAACCTTCTGCCTGTGTGCTCTTCTCTATCTTCTCATCCCGACGTATCTCTCCCGTCTTTCCATCGACTCCCCCACCCCTCCTTCTGTTCCTCCACCCTTCGTCCTTCCCCACCCTTCCATCCACACCTCTCCATCATCCCTCATCCATCCTTCCATTCTTGTCCTTCCTTTCATACCCCCAACCTTCTGTCTGTCCCACATCCTTCCGTCTGTCCCTCATCCTTCCTTCCCTCTACTCCTCATCCTTCCTTCCACCCACCCTTTTGTTCAGACTTCTATTCTTCTATCCACCTCTCATCCTTCTATCCATCCCACATCCTTCCATCCATCTCCTCCTTTCTTCCACTCCATCCTATCCATCCATTCATCCTTCCGTCCATCCCTCATCCTTCCGTGCATCCAGCCCCCCATCCCAGCCCCCCATCCCTCTTCCCTCATCCTTCCATCCCTCTGCCCATCCTTTTATTCATCCCCGTCCTTCCTCAGTGGCTACTGTTGCATTCTCAATGCCTGACACATGGTGGGGCTTCAACACTATTTGTTTAATAAATGAATGAAATGCGTGTCACCCATTGTATGACAGGCATTCTTTTAGGCACCAGAAATACATTAAGGAGTCCTTGCTCCAAAGGGCTCACCATCTCTTCTTGGAAATAAATAGAGCGACCGGGTAAACTTAATTTGAACACAGTGTGATGAACAGCACTGTCTGTAATCAAGCTCCGGACCTGTAGCAATGGAGGTAAGCAAGGAGGTACTGTTCTTGCGGCCTGGGATGGGGGTTGATGGGGTAATCAAAGAAGGCTTCATGGAGGAGGGGAAATTTGAGTGGAATCTTGAAGGATGAGTAGGAGTTCAGGGAAGCAGAAGATTCCGGGTAAACCGCACCAAGTGCCAGACTGTAAGGTTCCTGAGGGGAGACCATGTGCCCACCTGGCGCAGAGGCAGCTGCTCCACAATGTTGGCTAAGCCCTGACTGGGCAATAAATGAAGTGGAGAGCTGGGCAGGGCCTTGACTGGGAGCAGGTGGCAGGTCTCGAGCAGGGGAATGACATGCTTAAATAAAGATCACTGGTGAACAGGTTGGAGGTGGTGACACTAGAGGCTGGGAGCTCAGTCAGGGGCCTGGAGCAGTCGAGGGGAAGGCAGGGAGGAAGTGCCACTTGGTGGGGAGGGATTCAACGAAAGAGGCTGACCAGGCATCTGTAAAACTGTAAAGTGCAAATAGCACCTTCCTCATAGGGTTGTTGTTGGAGTAAGAATGCAAAGAATAAGGAATAAAGCATTGGTAAACATTTCTGTAGCACTTGCTCTGTGCCAGGCGCTGTTCCAGGCAGTTTATATGTATTAACTCAGTTCAACTTCACAGCAACACTAGGGGGTTGGCATTATTAGTCCCATTTTACAGATGGGAAAACTGAGGCCAAGACATGAAGTGACTTGCCCAAGGTCACCCATGGCAAAGCCGGGAACTGAGCCCATGTAAACTGGATGATGTCTATGGGGCATTTGGCACTCTGCCCAGTACACAGTAGGTGTTCAACTAATGTTAGAGAAAGGGGAAGAAAGGGAGTCGGGGAGATGCCTCTTTATCTGGGGCACTGAGGTGGGCAGGTGGGTGGGTTTCACCAAGATGGAAGCAGGTTTGGGGAAGATAAGTTCAGTGCAGGATGCGGTGGGTCTGGAGACTGGAGGACCCGAGGTGGGGACGCAGAGGAGGCGGCTGGTACTCAGGGCCTGGCCCCCCGGGTGATGCCCAGCCTGGCGTGGCCCTGCTGTCTCTCCTGTGGCCTGGCCTCCATGAGGAGGATGTCGTGGGAGAACCGCTCACCTTCTCGCCCGCGTGGATCTTGAAGGACACACCCCGCACGGCCAGCGGGAGCTCAGGTCGGTATCTCAGGCCAAAGTCCCGGAACTCGATCTGTCCCGCACGAGGCCAGGGTGGCCGTGCTGGGCTGGTGGGCAGCCTCCAGGGGGCCTGGGGCAGGAGCAGACTCTGGGTCAGAGCAGCCTTTCTCCCAGGCTTCTCACAAAATGGCCCACCTCTCCGAGCCTTAGTTTCCTCTTCTGTAAAATGGGCATATTTACTGCTACTTTATAGGGCTGGTATGGGACTAAATGAGAGAGGGCACGGAACATAGCAAGGCTAAAAACAATATCTAGTATTGTAACAATGATGATATCATGTTACTATCATGCTGCTATATTTCTGTAATGTTGCTATCATGTTGCTATCATGTTACTATCATGCTGCTATATTTCTGTAATGTTGCTATCATGTTACTGGCATGCTGCTATGTTTCTGTAATGTTATCATGTTTCTGTAATGTTGCTATCATGTTACTATCATGTTTCTGTTACATTGCTATTGCATTGCTGTTATTCACAGTCCCCTGTCACTCAGAGAGTGACCTGCCTTGCCCAAGCTAGGAAGCAAAGGAACCAGAATTGGACCTGGCTCCAGACCCCATGCTCTTAATCACTACTGCCTCCCAGCTGTGACTCCTGCCTACAGTGGTGGGGGCTCCAAAGTGCATTGCAGATGTCAACCTGGGTCCACTGCCCTCATCTCCCACCCATCACCTCCTTGGGCGTCCAAACGTAGTCCTTCATCCGCTCTACTGACACGATGCTATTCTCCAGGTCTGTCCAGCTTCGAACAGCCCATTGCAGTGTCTGGGTCACCTGGTGGGAGAAGACCACTCAGGCTGCTTCAGCAAGGCCACCTGACAGGCTTGCATCAGCCCCCCAAGGCAGGGGCTGGGAGGCAGGACCAGAGAGGGGGTGTGGCCCTCCCAAACACCCCGCAGGACCCAGGCCAGCTGATTTCCATTCTGAGAGCTTTCCTAAGTGGCTGGGCCTCTGCTGATTGCCCATCACACTTGGAACGATGCCAAGCTCCTCACCAGGGGCCCCGTGGCCTCCCTGCTCCAGTCCCCCCACCTGGCCATTTCCCTCCACTCTCGCCCTCAGCCACCTGCCACACCGCCTTCCTGCTGTTCCTCCAACACACCAGGAACGCTCCTCCCCTCCCCTCCCTCACTCCCTCACTTCCTTCAGGCTGCAGCTCACAGCCCCTCCTCAGAGAGGCCTTCCAGGCCTTGCAATAGAAAAATACCCTCCCTCCATCATGCTCCATCCTCTCACCTTGTATTAATTATCCTTAAGCTTAGCTGCCTCAGCTGTAAAATGAGGATCATAACAGTACCCCTGACGGAGTTGTGGGCAGGATTACGATTAATAGCCATGAAGCTCTTAGAACGATGCCTCATTCATTGTGACTGCTACTTACATATATATATTTATATATTTTTATTCATAGATGTCATGACCTGACATTAAATATTGTTATCGATAGTTAACAAAAAGTTAACAAAGTGCTGGAAATGTACTCTATATACTTTAACTCAACTAGTCTTTTTTTTTTTTGAGGAAGATTGGCCCTGTGCTAACATCTGTTGCCAATATTCCTCTTCTTTTTATCCTTTTCTCCCCAAAGCCCCAGCACGTAGTTGTGTGTCATAGTTGTAGAGTTGTAGCTCTTCTATGTGGGACGCCGTCTCAGCATGGCTTGATGAGCGGCGAGTAGGTCTGCGCCCAGGATCTGAACCGGCACACCCTGGGCTGCCGAAGCAGAATGCGCGAACTTAACCACTACACCACTGGGCCGGCCCCTCAACTAGTCTTTACAACATCTGAAGGGAAGGGATTACTGCCCCGTTTTTCAGATGGGTACACCGAGGCTCTGAGAGGCAAGACTCCTGCCCAAGGTCCAGCCTAGGCTCCCGTAGAGCTGTACTGGCGGTTTGGACTCGGGTCCCTGCAGGTCCCAGTGGCAGGAGTCTGTCCTCCTCCGTTCTGCCCGCGCCCCAGAACCCAGGTTGGGATGCGGGAGTACCTGGAGGGCTGTGGAGACAGAGAAGCCCACGAGGCCGGCGCTGAGATGGGCCTTGCTCAGCGCAGCGCACATGGCGGCTGTGAACACCAGCCCGTTGCCCAGGAGCTCCATGTTGGCAGCGAGCCACCTGTGAGGGGAGGCAGGTAAGACTGGGGTCAGCGGGGCCCCTGCGGGACCTGCATCTCTGGGCACAAGGGCTGGTCAACGTGCCGGCTCGAGTACCCACGGGGGTCCCGCAATGGTCTCCTCCACACCCAGGCCCCACCCAACCTCGGCGGGTGGGGAAGGCGGGCGCCGTCCTGCCTCACCGCCGGCGGCTCAGGGCCTGGGACACACGAGATGCTCAGGTAAAGCTTTGCTGTGCTGCCACTTTTCTGTTTGCGGGAGATGCCAGGCCATGTCCCCTTGTGTTCTCCTTGCCTAAACCCCACCCCCAGCTTCACGCAGCCAAGATCTTATCTTCATGCACAACTCAGCTCGAACATCACCTCCTCAGAGCACCTTCCTGGACTGCTCCTCCTCTCTAACACAGCACTGACAACTTCCTTCATAGCAGTTATCCCTGTTAATAACTCAACTATTTCATCAGCCACTGACTACCAGTCTCCATCAGTAGACGGTGAACTTCATGAGGGCAGCGACTTTGTCTCATTCGTGGCTCTGTCTCCGGTACCTAGCATGGGTCCCAGCACATAGTAGGTGCTCAACAAATGTATACTGAATGGATAAATGAATGTGCCCCCCCTTTTATGGAACTCCCACTCTACCATTCATTCATTCAACAGATATGTATTGAGCACCTACTGTGTGCCATGCATGTTGGAGGTGCTGGGGCCACAGTCATGAACGAAACAGATAATCCCTGGCTTCAGGGAGCTCTAGGCTTTGCTACATATAACATCTAGTCCACCTAACAACCCCAACCATGGGGGTGTTGTTGTCCCCCTCTGACAGATGAGGACACTGAGGCTCAGAGGGTCAGGTCCTTGCCTAAGTCCAGTCCACACACGTAACAAACACCATGACTTGAAGCCACAGCTGCCTGACTGATTCCAGAAAGCGCACACTCTTTCCACCGGGTCGTGCTTTTCAATGAACCAACTAACAAACAAACAAACTCAGACCCCTTAGGGTCTGCCACTCCTTAGACGGCTGACCTTGGGGGAGTCCCTTCATTCTTTGAACTCCCAGTTTATCCATCTGTAGATGAAGTCAGATCTGGTCACAACAGGTGAGAGTATTAAATGAGATACACCATACATAGCACAGAAATCACTGTGCCTTGCACAGAGTAGCTACTTTCTAATGTTTGTAAGGACCCTCCTCCCCAAGCCAGGACCCCAATAAGGGGCAGAGCAGGTCATCCAGAAGGCATATGGAATTGAGACGCTGCCCTGATAGCCCCAGCTGGCCAGGGACCTGGGCAGATGGGAGAAAGGAATTCACATTTATGGAGTACCTACCGTGTACTCGACCCTCTCCACGCTCTGCAACCAGACTTCCTGGATTCAAATCCTGACTCCACCATGTATGTGCTGTGGGCAAGTTCCTAAATCTCTCTGTGCCTAAGATTTATCATCTACAAAAGAGTCTCTGCCTCGTGGGGTTGTTAATAGGATTAAATAAATTAATCCACGTCGAGTGCTCAGAACTGTGCTGGGCACGCAGTAAGCATGCTACGAGTAATAGCTGTGAGTGTATTTATTTACTCCTCATGGCCACTCCATGAGCACAATCCCAGTTTGACAATGAAGCTCAGAGAGGTTATGTAACTTGCCTAACATCACCCAGCTGGTAAGTTGCAGAGCTGGGATTCGAACCCATGCGTCTGTGCTCAAAGCTTATGTTCTTATTCGTGCTTAGCACTGAAAGGAGGCAGAGGATGCGTATGTAGCTGCTTGTCACCAAGGCAACAGAGGCTCCTCCCCTTTCGCTGACACCTGTACCTGCTGCCCTCCTGCCTTGGGGAGCCCCCAGGCCAGGTTCTATCTGCTTACAGTGCGAGCCAAATGCGCCCATGGGATCTAGCCTGTTTTACTCCTGACTCGCTGTGTGACCTTGGGCAGGCCACTTGACCTCTCTGGCCCCACAGTATGACCTTAGGGCTCACTCTCTGGGGACACTGACGGATTACAGGGTCTTCTCCGCCCCCTTCCTACCTGTCAGCCACCAGCTGCGGGAAACTGACCCTCTGGCTCTCATCCACGTGTGTGTTGTTCTGAGCCACCAAGGGGCCCTGGGCCTGGAAGGCCCTGATCACTGCGCTGCCCTGGAACGTCTCGGCCACGTGGGAACACACGAACGAGTGCCTGGTTGTCTCCAGGCGTCTGAGCTGGCACGAGGTGGCCACGTACAGGCTCTGAGGCGGGACAGGTGGGGAGAGGAGGTCACAGACACAGAGAGGTAGTTTGAGAAGCACAGGGAGCCCCAAGTATAGGGTCCCAGACCGGGCTCTGTTACCAGCTTGCTGTGTGACCTCAGATCAGTTGCTTCCCCTCTCTGGGCTCCAATTTCCTTGCAGAACCAGAGTTCCATGGTTCTTTTTAAGATCACCTTGGAAGCTTCAGAAACGTCCAATGCCCTGCACCAGAACTATTGAATCAGAATCTTTCATGGTGTCATTTTGGCTGTGGTATTTTTAAAAAGCCCAATCCTAATGGATTGCCAGGATCGAGAAACTACTAATCTAGTGTGAATGTCTCATTCCCAGCTCTAAGGCCGACTGCTTCACTTAGGGCCAGTCATTGTGGGAACAAAACCCTAAAGGGCCAGGAAGGCAGCTGGCCGAGTTCACTTAACTCGAGGGTTACATGCCAGGCTCTGGGAACACAATGACGCACAGATAGCATGTGTCGTTACTTGGTCTGAGGCTGCAAGTCGCGTGTACTGGCAGGCGGGGAGGACCCTGCGTTTGCTGAATGCCTGGCTGAGTGCCAGGCTGTGGACAAACAGCATCTCAGCAACTGTCAGGTGGACATCAGTGTCCTTCACAGTCGACAGGTGGGAACACCTGAGCCTCAGGGGGATTAAGCTGCTGGTCGAGGCCTCTACAGCGATCAAGTGGCAGGGCCTGGATTCAAACCCACTTCTGCCAGACTCCCAAGCTCTCTACAGAGCAGCAGTCCCTCCCCCAAGGCACGAGGACATGGAGAAGACCTGGGATAGCTGTGGGGGCCAGTGGTGGCTATGACTTTTGTCTGACCACCACGTTGTTGTCTACTTCTGATTTCTGGGGTTGGTGGGAGGCAGGGGGGCGCGGGCTGTCAATCATGGGACCTGATGGTGGAGGTGGTCACATGATACAGCCCCACCAGTCAGAGTAAACTATTCCTTTGGTGACGGTGATTAGCTCAGGGATGAGCACATGCCCCATCAAGGGCCAATCAGAATCTTCCCTGGGATGGATATATGAATGCGGAGCTGGAGACAAGGTTTCCCTGTGTTGGGGTGCTAAGGTGGGACGCGGTGAGGGCCTCCTGGAAAGAAAGTGTGTGCAAAATTAGGCCAAGCCGAGCTAAGCCAGTGGTTCTCAAACATTAGCACGCGTCGGAATTACCTAGAGGGTTTGTTAAAACCCAGATTTCTGGGCTCCCCCTCCATAGCGTCTGAGTCAGTGGGTCTTGGGCACGGGCCTGAGAATGTGCATTTCTAACTAGCTCCCAGGTGATGCTGATGTTGCTGGTCGGGAACCACACTCTGAGAACCACTGAGTGAAGATATGGAGAGAGCGACTGCGTCCTGGTGACAGCCGGCCCACTGCACCCCAGGAACGCAGGCCATTAAATTCTGTTCTTTTGTTTAAGCTAATTTAAGTTGGTCTCTGGCTCTGGCAACTGAAACAGTCTAGCCCAATACGATAGTCTCTGAGACCTTGCAATGCCTTTTTGGTTTCCAGATAATTGGAGGAGAGGAAGGTGATTTCAGCAGCCACAGGATAAAATGTCAGATATTAAAAACTTTGATGTGAGCACTGGGGAGACACAGATGAGTATAGGTGTTAGACTGTGGTGTCTCTGCCTCTGGGGGTTCTTCTAGGGTGGCCCCCAGATGCCCAGCGGGACAGAGCCTGTTACACTGAGTCCTGCCCAGAGACAGGGGACTGACTGAGGTGACCTCGGCTGGCCCCAGCAGCCTCCCCAACCTCTCCCCACCTGAAACCCAGTGTAGAGGAGCAGCAGCGGCAGGATGATGATGAGGGCCGGCGGGGTGGCCACTGTCACCACCAGGCAGACCTCCAGGAGTCCAAAGGCATAAACCAGCAAGGACCGGAGTTTGTCTGGGATGTCCACGTCCACTGTGTCTGTCTCCTTGGAGAAGCGGGTCAGCAGGTTCCCAACGGGCGTCTGCTCAAAGAAGCCAACGGGAGACCGCGCCACGTCCCACAGGAGCCTCCGGAAGAGCAGGCTGGAGGCGCGGACGCCTCCCAGGAGCACTGTGGCCATGGCAGCAAACAGCCCAATGGCTGGAGAGAGGGGGTCAGAGCATGAGGGCTGGAGACCCTCAGGAGCCTCCTGTGGGGCCCTGGCAGGTCCCCCCACCCCCCTGCAGTGGTCATCTTCAGATTTGGCCACCCTGATTATCCCTTGATGGAATCACCCTGTAGTGGGTTGAACAGTGTCCCCCCCCGCCCCCCGCCCAATGCATGTCCACCCAGAACCTCGGAATGTGACCTTATTTGGAAATAGGGTCTTTGCAGATGTTATTAGTGAATGATCTTGAGACAATATCATCCCGGATTTAGGGTGGGTCCTAAGCCCAATGACTTGTGTCCTTATAAGAAGAGGAGAAGACACACAGAGATGCAGAGAAGAAGGTGATATGAAGACGGAGGCAGAGACTGCAGTGACGCACGACAAGCCAAGGGATGCCAAGGATTGCCAGCAACCACCAGACACCAGGAGAGAGGCATGGGATGATTTCTCCCTCAGAGCACCTAGAAGGAACCAATCCTGCTGACACCCTGATTTTGGACTTCTGGCTTCAGAACTGTGAAAGAATAAATTTCCCTTAAGCCACCAAGTTTGCGGTAACTTGTTTTACGGCAGCCCTAGGAAACTAATATACCCCCTTCCTCCCAATGCCAACTTATGTGCTTGGACTAGGGCTAACTTCACTCCCCGGCTCCTGGTGGGGCAAATTTCATCCCTGGCCAATCCAAACCACTGCAATTGGTTCAGGGATGGACACACCACCCAAGGTAGGCCAATGAGAGAGACCTGGGACTTTGCTAGAACTTTTGGAAAAGAGATACTCGCTTTTTTGAGGTGGCCAAGCTGGAGCTACAGGATACCATATTATCACTGGGGGAAAAGGCTGCCTGGACAGGAAGCTATCACAGAAGAAGAAAATGAAGCCATTCTGACAGCCTCAGTTGGACCCCTGGATCCAGCCATACCTGAAGCTAGTTACCTATGGATTCCAGTCTCATATGCTAATAAATTCTCTTGTTATTTAAACTAGTTTGAGCTATATAGTTACATAGTTAATATATTATAGCTATGTAGTTAGTAGCTATATTAATTTCAAATAGAGCAGACTTCACAGTAATGAAAGTTATCAGGGATAAAGAGGGGCATTACATAGTGATAAAGGGGTTAGTTCTCCAAGAAGATATAACAATCTTTAATGTGTATGCACCAAACAACAGGGCATCAAAATATGTGAGGCAAAAACTGATAGAACTGCAAGGAGAAATAGATGCACTCACTATCATATCAAGATCCCTCTATCAGAAATGGACAGATCCAGTAGGCAGCAAGTCAGTAAGGACATAGTTGAACACAACAACACTATCAATCAACTGTGTATAATGGACATCAATAGACTACTTCATCTAACAGCAGCAAAATATAAACTCTTCTCAGGCTCAAATGGAACATTCACCAAGAGAGACCACATTCTAGGCCATAAAATATACCTTGTAACAAATAACAAATTAAAAAAAATGGAAATCATAAAATGTTTGTTCTCAGACCACAATGGAATTAAACTAGAAATAACAGAAAGCTAGCTGGAAAATCTCGAAATACTTGAAGATTAAACAATACATTTTTAAGCAACACATGGGTCAAAGAAGAAATTTCAAGAGAAATTTAAAAATATTTTGAACTAAATGAAAATGAAAACAGAACTTTCAAAATTTATGGGATGCAGTAAAAGCAGTGCTTAGAGGGAAATGTACAGCATTGAACACATATATTATAAAAAGAGAGAGATCCAAAATCAATCATCTAAGCTTCCACCTTAGGAAATGAGAAAAAGAAGAGCAAATTAAATCCAAATAAGCATAAGAAAAGAAACAATAACAATTAGAGTAAAAGTAAATGAAATTGAAAAACAGAAAATCAATAGAGAAAATCAATGAAACCAAAAACTGGTTCTTTGAAAAGATCAATAAAATTGATAAGCCTTTAGCCAGGCTAAAAGAAAAAAAGAGAGAGGACTCAAATTACTAATATCAGAAATAAAAGAGGGGACATCACTACAGATCCCATGGATAGTAAAAGGATAATAAAGCAATACTATGAACAACTCTATGACCACAAATTTGATAACGTAGGAGAAATGGACCAATTCCTTGAAAGACACAATCTACCAAAACTCACCCAAGAAGAAATAGACAATCTGAATAGGCCCATAAATATTAAAGAAATTGAATCAACAATTAATAACCTTCCAAAACAGAAAGTTCACTAGTGAATTCTACCAAACATTTAAGGAGACATTATATCAATTCTCTACAATGTCTTTCAGAGGACAGGAGCAGAGGGAATACTTTCTAACTCGTTCTATGAGGCTAGCATCACCCTAATACCAAAACCAGACATTACAAGAAAAGAAAACTACAGACCAATATCTCTCATGAACACAAATGCAAAAATCATCAACAAAATATTAGCAAATCCAATCCAACAATGTATAAAAAGAATTACAAACTATGATCAAGTAGGATTTATCACAGGTATGCAAGGCTGGTTCAACATTTGAAAATCAATTGATGTCACATCAATAGGCTAAAGAAGAAAAATCACATGATCATATCAATGGATGCAGAAAAAGAATTTGCCAAAATCCAACACCCATTCATGATAAAAAAAAAATTCCAGTAAATTAGGACTAGAGGAGAATTTCTTCAACTTAATAAAGAACATGTACATAAACCTACAGCTAACATAATGGTGAGAAGCTTGATGCTTTCCCACTAAGCTCAGAAACAAGGCAAGGATGTCCCCTCACTCCTTTTCAATAGTCTACTGGAAGTCCTAGCTAATGCGATAAGATAAGAAAAGGAAATAAAAGGTATACAGATTGGAAAGGAAGAACTACAACTGTATTTGTTTGAAGATCACATGACTGTCTATGTAGAAAACCCAAAAGAACTGACCAAAAAATGCCTGAAACAAATAAGCAATTATAGCAAGGTTGTAGGATGCAAGGTTAATATGCAAACATCAATCCTTTTCCTATATACCAGCAATGAACAAGTAGAATTTGAAATTAAAAACAGTACCCTTTACATTAGCAAACCCCAAAAAGAAATACTTAGGTATAAATTGAACAGAATAAGGAGAAGATCTATACGAGGAAAACTACAAAATTCTGATGAATGAAATCAAAGAACTAGATGGAGAGATATTCCATGTTCATATTGTCATGATGTCAGTTCTTTCCGACTTGGTCTATAGATTCAATGCAATCCCAATCCAAATCCCAGCAAGCTATTTTGTGGACACTGACAAATTGATTGTAAAGTTTATATGGAGAGGCAAAAGACCCAGAATAGCCAATTCAATATTGAAGAAGAATAAAGTCAGAGGAATGACACTGCCTAAATTCAAGACTTACTATAAAGGTACAGTAATCATGACAGTGTGGTATTTGTGAAAGAATAGACAAACAGATCAATGGAACAGAATAGAGAGCCTAGAAATAGTCATAAATATAGTCAACTGATCTGTGACAAAGGAGCAAATGCAAAATAATGGAGCAAAGACAGTTTCTTCAACAAACGGTGCTGGAACAAATGGACACATCCATATGCAAAAAAAAGGAATCTAGACACAGACCTTGTAACTAACTCAAAATGGATCACAGACCTAAACATAAAACCTAAAACTATAAAACTCCTAGAAGATGACAGGAGAAAACCTAGATGACCTTGAGTACAGCGATGACTTTTCAGATACAACACCAAGAGCACAATCCATGAAAGAAATAATTGATAAGCTGGACTTCATTAAAATTAAAAATTTTTGCTCAGTGAAAGACAATGTCAAGAGAATGAGAAGACAAGCCACAGACTGGGATGAAATGTTTGCAAATCTTTGCAAAAATTTGATAACATCTGAGAAAGGACTGTTATCCAAAATATACAAAGAACTCTTAAAATTCAACAATAAGAAAATAAACAACCTGATTAAAAAATGGGTCAAAGACTTTCACAGATACCTCACCAAAGAAGATATACAGATGGCAAAAATGCACAGGAAAAGATGTTCCACATCATGTGCCATCAGGGAAATGCAATTAAAACAACAGTGAGACACAACTACACATCTATTAGAATGGCCAAAATCCAGACACTGACAACACCAAACGCTGGTGAGGCTGGGGAGCAACGGGAATGCTCATTCATTGCTGGTGGGAATGCAAAATGTTGCAGCCACTTTGGAAGCCAGTTTGGCAGTTTCTTACACAACTAAACATACTTTCACCATATGATCCAGTAATTGTACTCCTTGGTATTTATCCAAAGGAGTTGAAAACTACGTCCACACAAAAACCTGAACACGGATGTCTATAGCAGCTTTATTCATAACTGCCAAAACTTGGAAGCAACCAAGAGTCCTTTGGTAGGAGAATGGATAAATAAACTGTGGTCCATCCAGACACTGGAATATGATTCAGTGCTGAAAAGAAAGGAGCTCTCAAGTCATGAAAACACTTGGAAGAAACTTGACTGCATATTACTAAAGGAAAGAAAACAATCTAAGAAGGCTACATACTATATGATTCCAACTATATGACACTCTGGAAAAGGCAAAACTATGGAGACAGTAGAAAGATGAGTGGTTGCCAGGGGTTGGTGGGGGGAGGGAGGGATGAACAGGCAGAGTACAGAGAATTTTGAGGGCAGTGAAACTATTCTGTCTGATACTACAATGGTGGATCCGTGTCATTATACATTTGTCCAAACCCACAGGATATACAACACCAAGAGTGAAGCCTGATGTAAACTGTGGACTTTGGATGTGGGTTCATCATTTGTAACAAAGGTCCCACTCTGGCGGAGGACATCGATAATGGGGGGTGCTGTGCACGTGTGGGGGTGAGGGGGTATATGAGAAATCTCTACTTTCTGCGCAATTTTGCTGTGAACCTAAAACTGCTCTAAAAAAATAAACTATCTTTAAACGAGAGGAAGAAAAGCTGTGAGACAATGATGGTGGCCATGTGGTGCAGGGGTCTGGCTCGTCTGGAGGTTTGGGGTGGGGGAGTGGGGTGCGGGATTGGGGTGGGGTGCTGGAAGGCACCAGCGGTCAGACCTCGGAGCTGCCCTCTGCGTGGGGGAGGGGCAGAGTCCAGCTGACCTGCCCTGTCTGTCCCCACCTAAGTGCTCAGCTGGCCCCAACACCTGGGGGCCAAGGTTCTGCATTTGCCAATGAGGCTGGAAGAGACTCTGAGGGTTGCAGAAAAGGAGGGATGTGTCGTGTCCCCCACTCCTCTCAGCCCCACCTTAGGGATGCCGCTCTGTGCGTGGACCCAGGATGTTTGCACGGATGTTCTGGGAGGACAGAGTGAGCCAAGGATGGGTGGGCCAGGGAGCCCTGAGCATCTCAGGAGGAGTTGGAAGGATGGAGGGTGAGGGAGGTGGCAAGGGTACCTTGGAGACAGCCCAGGAGCCCGAAGACCCAGCCCCGCAGGGCCGTCTGTGCCTGCTGCCCGTCCACGGTGGGGTCGTCCGCCCACAGGCTCAGCCAGTAGCCGCGGCAGAAGGAGGCCGCTTGCTGGCAGAGGAAGAGGAAAAGCGCGTAGAGGCAGAGCGGGGTGCCCACAGCTCGTAGGTAGGTCAGGTACATGGCCGCCTTCACCTGTATCACACACAGGGGAGATGGGGGCAGAGAGAGGCCCCGGGGGTGGGGGGAGGCCAGGTGAGGCTCCCAAACCCTCCAACAGGGAAGATGGAACCACCATGCAGACCTCCCATGTCCTCTCTCAGTCCCTCCCACGTGGAGCACCATCTCCCCCACAGGCCCCGCCCAGCCTCTGGACCCCCCTCCTCTGGAGAACCCCCAGAGGGCCAGGGAGCCTTAAAGGCTGTGGCACTTTGTGGCTTTGGAGTGATTTATTGAACACCTACTAGGGGATAGGCATGTGTCTCTACCCTCATGATAATGCCCACCTGACAGAGAAGGAAACTGAGGCACAGAGAGGTTAAGCCACTTGCTTCAAGTCTGGTTCCTTCAAATCTGAAGTTCTCCACACAGCTGCAGCCAGAGCGAACTTCTGAAAACACCAGCCTGACCCCATCTTGCTGGTGCTGACCTGCCACAGCTGTCTCTAGCTCTTAGAAGAAATTCTAGACTTCTAGTCCACCTCCCAACCTACCCCCCACTCACTATCTGCCAGCCTCATGGGATTCCTTTTTTTTCTCTGGTGCTGTAAGCTCTCTCCCACCTCAGAGCCTTTGCACCTGCTGTTCCCTCTGCCAGGAATGCACTTCCCCCTGCTCTTTCCACGGCTGGTTTCTTCGCATCCTTCAGGGCTCAGCTCAAATGCCACCCCTAGAGCATCCTATCCAAGCAGGTCCCTGACCCTTGCTCAGTGTCCATCTCATTGCCCTTCTTCATTTTCTTCATAGCATTTATCATCATCTGAGATTACCGTGCTTATTAGCCTAACTATTTGCTGTCTCTCCCCACTAGCATGCAATCTCCACTGGGGCAGAGACTTTGCCTGGCACATAATGGGGGTTCTGTAAATGTTTGCTGGGTGGATAGTTGGGTGGGATGATGGGTGGCTGGGCGAATGGGTGAATGAATGGGTAGATGGGTGGATGGATGAATAAATGAGTGGGTCATGGATAGATGAGTGGATAGATGGATGGAAGGGTAGATGGACGAGTAAATAGATGGGTGAGTGGATGGATGGATGGATGGATGGATGGATGGATGGATGGATGGATGGATAGATGGGTGAGTGGATGGATGGATGGATGGATGGGTGG